AATAGAAAAATAAATAAGTAAAATAAATTATAATAGTATAATCACACATTCATTTTCAATTTTAATAGAGAAAAAATTATATTATTTTTAAATAAATAAAAAACAAAATTTTAATTATTTTGTCTAATTAGTAAATTTTATTTATTAAATTAATATAATTTTTCATAATAAATTAATGTAAAAATTAAAAATATAATAATCATTAAATGTTATTAAAGATATAAAATGAAGTTGACACTAATTAAGTAAGTATTAATTAAAAACCGTTGCCAAAATTTAAAAAATTAAAAAGAATAAATATGTTAACAAAACCAAAAAATTTTAATCTACTAGTGATTTAGTACAAGTTACCTAAGGTAATTTTTCAATTTGTTAGCAGTTTAAACCTTAATTGTTATTAGTTTGTTTCAAACTATTAAATAAATTTTTTCATCAAATATCAAATTTATAGTGATTTTAAAATAAATAAATTTATCAAACATTTATTTTTAATAGTTTAAATAAAACTACTAACCATTTCTCTCAAACCATCATATCAGTAGGCCTTAAGTCTAAATAATTATAAAATGTTAACAATAATGGGCATCGATGAATTATGAATGTAACAAATCTATATTTGAAAAAGTTAGGATTACTTGTGTTGACATAAGTGATATACTAAATTTTAAGAAAATAGTGCATTTTAGTCTAGATCCTTAAAAAAAAATGGAGTTTTAACATTAAAAATGTTATTACATTTAATTAAAACATATTTAAAAATTTTAAAATCCACATATTTACATTTAAAAACTGAATCTATCTTATTAAATATTGATACTTGTATTTAAAAACTAATTATATTTTAAATATAAAAGGTCAAAAATTCATCATATTAAATAGTGCATATTCTAAATATATGCATTAACATGTATAACATGAATTTTTAAATTTTGAATTAAGTTTTAATTAAATGAAACAACATTATTTAAGATTGAAATTCTAATTTTTTTTTTGTTGGGTATCAACAGTAATTAACCCCATTTTTAAATTTTAACCATTCATTTTAAAATTTCAATAAATATACAACACTTAAAATTTTTAAATGTGTAGCTAAAAATTAGTACTTTCTCCATTCCAAAAAAAATATAACTCGTCTAACTTTTTTCACATATTTTTAGGTCATATTTTTTTATATTATATAAATGATAATTATTTTTTTATCAAACAAAACTTTTCAATAAGAACTACATATAAAAAAATAAAATCTTAATTATCATTTATATATTATAAAAAAGTATTACCTAAAATTACATGCAAAAAATAAACAACTTATATTTTGTAATAAAGGGAATACTAATTTTTAGTTAAATATATTAAAATTTAAGGAATTTTTTAAAAATTTTAAGTGTTATATTAATTATTGAAATTTTAAAATGAGTAGTTAAAATTTGAGAATAGTGTATATTAATCTTGATTTTAAAAAAATGGAGTTTTAACATTAAATAAGGTTGTTGTATTTAACTAAAATTTAATTTAAAATTTAAAAATACACTTTATGAAATACTATTACTTACATTTAGAAATTGATATGTACTATGTAATAAGGTGAATTTTTGACTTTTTATATTTAGCATGTAATTAGTTTTTAAATGCAAATATTAGCATATCCACTTTTCTATATTTAGAATGAATTCAAATTTTAAATATAGATATCAACATTTAATATAACACACCTCCCTAAGCACTTTTAATCCTAAAAGAGTTCGAAAATAAGATTTATAATAAAGAATTGCAGCGAAAATAAAAAAACTTTTGAAAAAAGAAAATCATAAATACATGTAAAGGAAAACCACTTTAACAAGTCAATATATATATATTGAAAAAATGTCAAAATATTCAAAGTTATAAAATAAGCCGAGCTAAACTCATTTATAATTAATTTAAAGATTTTATACATAAAGGTAATTTATATAAAAATTATATGAGACAAATTCTTCTCCAAAACTTTTTAAAAAAACAAAAGCTGAGTCATTATTTTGGTAACACATCGATCTGCCTCCCTATCAAAAGCACGGGGCCCTAGCTTGTACATACAATGAGCATGCGAGTTTCGTGCCAAAAGCTCCTAAACCGAGAGGTTGCTACCTCGATCTATTGATCTAAAATGGGGGGGAGGAATTTTATGAGCTAACAGCCTAGGAAGTAATAAGTTTAAGCTATAAACTTGGATTCTAAAACCTTTAGACCTATCCACACAAAGAGCATAAGACACAACGGAATTAAATCACATAATATTATAATTCCCACTATTTAAATAATAACTTAATATCTCAAATCATAAGTACAAATGTCAAGGAATAATCAATGACATTTAAATTGAATTCATATACTAAAATCATATGCTCACAAATACGATGTCACAAGCGCAAATGCATAAAATCGAAAATCACACAATGCTATGGAGTCCACTGAGGTGTGCTAGCAATACTGTACCGGAACTAATTACAGTACTAACTCTACTGCACAGAGACCACTAAATATCCCGAAGGGTCCACTGAATACCCCAAGCTTTAAACTTAAATCCACTTACTCCATAACCACAAACACATACGCATGTCAAACAAATTAATAATATGTCCAAAATAATATTAGGACTTCTTATTGAAAGAGATCAAAGCATAATGCATGAACAATAATCATGAACAGTAATCGTGAACAGTAATCATGAACAGTGATTCATAAACAATACAATTTACTTATAATTCTGGCAAGCAAAAATTCACACCCAAATCAAACAATAAAAAGGAATAACTCACTATCTTTCCCATATAAGCCCCAAAATTAAGAATATTTCTAATGAAATTTTAATACTCAAAAATCTTATAAACCAAAGAATTAGAGTCAAATCTCACCAATTTAAACTACCCAAAACTCTAACCCAAAATTCATAACTAAAACTTATACTTACCTAACAAAAAATACCTTAACCTTGGTTGGAGAAGACAGGAAGAAAAGGATGCAGGTGGGACGGCCGGAAAACGCAAGAAAACAAAATGGGGACTTTTGGGAGCCTTCTAGAGGCTTATCCAAGTTTCCACCGACCAAAAAAAAAATTTGTTTGGGACAATGCCATGTGGTAAGCAAAATTGGGATAATTGAGTTATGATCATTCAACTTCTACTAAAATTTATTTAAAACCCTCAAACTTTAAATTCAATCAATTTAATCCCTAAAACTATAAATTAAAGGACACAAAATTTTAAATTATTCACTAAGGTATGTGGGGTGTTACATTTAATAAGATGATGCAATTTCTAAATACAAATATCAAACATTTAATAAGGTAAATTTTTGAATTTTGAAATAAGATTAATTTCTGTTGTTTTTTAATGAAAAAGTTAATACCATTGATGATCAAAGAGTACACAAAGAGTACTATAACTGCGCCTCCAAATCCCACCTAGTCTCATAATGGATATTATTACATAGTTCTATAAAACTTAATGAGAAATTTGAGTTAGTCCTAACCCCAAATTACTACATTACCCAATACAAAACAAAGAAACTAAATGTATGTTGGAGTTGATGGGAATAAAGGAGAGGGGAAAGAAGGGAATGGGATAAGTAAATAAATTAGAAGAAAAAATAAAGGAAATTCTTTAGTTCCCTTCCCCTTAAATTCTTTTGATAACTAAATATAGAAAGATTTCCCTCTCCCCTCTCCTTCACTTCATTTCCCTTAACCTAGACATATTACAAAAGATTGGGGTCAAAACCTGTTACAAAAAGAAAGCCCTAAAATAGGAAACAAATTAAAATTAAAACTACTTTCCCGTCTTTTTGCTTGGAAATATTGGAGATTAAAAAATTCTACTACCAACTTAACCAACAACTATCCACTGCCTCTAGCCCCTAGTCTACCTTCCATTATCATCAACCAATTTTCCACTATAATGTTCACTGTCATATCCCAAAATTGTAGCCCCTCCCTTCCACTTGTTACCATGTCCAACTAGACCTAACAATTCTTCACCTGACTTGGTAGCTTGCTTATGACTCACTTGATTAAAATAGATTAGTGTCAGACATTCCTACCCTTGACTGATTAATAAATCATTAAGAGAACCTATTAGGTCATGAATTAATAACGGGTTGACTTAATAAGTCAATGGACTAACCTATTTGTTCTATCTATTTTTTTAATAATTTATTTTATTTTATTAAAATAATAAAATAATCTAAAACAATTTCTACCCTAAATCCCTTCAAAATATCATCATTCAATCTTCATTTCTATGCACAACCACATAGCTAGCCACATAACTTATTGATACTTTTTTTTATTTTTAATTATCTACATTACTTACCAATGCCTATTTTTTCCAAGAAATTTTTTTACTTGTACCTTAAGACACAAATTAATAGTCTATTTATTATACTTTTTCACTATTAATTTACATAAAAAAATAAAAATTAATTTAAAATTTATCAATTATTTAATTAAATCATGTCACATGACATTAGTGCTAAAATAAATTTACTTTTATATTTTTTTATATGAATTAATAATGAATTGGTACAATAAATATACCTAGTAGTACTATTAGAAAAACCCTTTTTCTAATTAGTAATGCTACAACAATGAGTCTATTTTTTTACCCTATTTCAACTCTCAAAGTTTTAGAATCTGAATTAATTGAGAACTGTTATGAATTAATTCATTGTGGATGTTTCATGTTTTTCATCTTCTCACCTCCTCACTTTCCATGGCATTTACACACCAAGTAATGGTATAACTTCCACTACCTCCATGCAATTACAATATTGGTTAACATCCCATAATGTTATGCATTTAGACGGTGATAATGAGATTTCTTGTAACTCCTCCATTAGTAGGAATTAATACTTGTAACCTCTCATTTAGTAGGTGTTTATTCTTTGTAACTCATATCCAGTGTTGTTAATAGCTTACATTATATTAAAAAAAGTAAAAATCTTTTTTAACCCTAAATAGAAACAAAACCCTATTCTTTCTGTGCTACACGGATTGTGAGCTCCCCTCATCGTCAACCCAATCTCCTCCTCTTCTTCTCAACGAAGTCGAACCAATCACTCATAAAATCAGTCACCGGCAGCAACCTACCTTTTCAGAGTGATCGACGAACACAAAGCTCAAATTTTGGGTGGCTCGATCAACGTTTGCTCAGGTACTAAACTCTTTTTCCTTTTTTTTTTCTTCTTTTTTAAATTTGTTTCTTCTCTTATTTTTTAATAAGTTTTAATTTCTATTTCTAAAATGTGAATCCATCTTTCTCTCTTTTTTTTTCTTCATTTATTTGTTCGGTTGATTCCATCTCTCTTTCTTTTTCTTTTTTTTTTTCCACATTTATTTGTTAGGGATAGTAACTTCGGTTGAATCCATCTCTCTTTCTTTCTTTCTTTCTTTCTTTTTTTTCCAATTTACTTATTTTGATTTTCAACTTTCATTGTTGATTGTTCCCCAAATTTTTCTCTAAAAGTCTGAAGCAATCTCCTTTTTTTTTTTTTTGCTGTTTTTTTTTTCTTGTTCTAGTTCCAGATCCAGACTCTGTTTTTCTTTTCTTCATTTCAGTTCCAGAATCCAAACTCTGTTTTTTTTTCTTTTTCTTGTTCCAGTTTCAAACTATGTTTTTTCTTTTTCTTGTTCTAGTTCTAGACTCTGTTTTTTTCTTTTCTTTTTCTTGTTCCAATTCCAGACTCCTTTTTTTTTTAATTAATTTGTTCTCTTTTTTGATGACTCACCTTACAACATTTAATTTGTTAACTTATATGTATGTCAAACTATCAACAAATTTAATTTGATGTCTGATACTTTGATGACTCTCCGAAGCAATCTCTGTTTTTTTGCTGATTTCATTTTTTTCCTACATATACATCCATGTTCGTTCCAAATTGTTTTTTTTTTTTCAATTAATTTGTTCTTTTATATTGATGACTTTTCTTGCATCATTTGGTTTATTATTTTTTTCATGGATTAACAGACATGGCAAGTGGAAGTGGATCGACAAGTACCTCCTCAAAATTAAAGAAATCAAAAGAAGATATTGGGTGGAAATACAACAAATTAGTAGATCCTAATAATACAAGTCACGTGATGTGTAACTTTTGCAATAATGTTACGACTGGTAGCATAACCAGAGCAAAGCGACATCAAATAGGGATTAAGGGAGATGTGGTAGCTTGTCCTGGTTGCCCACAAATGGTTAGGGATGAATTGTTTGCAAACCTTCAAAAGAAAAATTTAGAGAAGGATATGTTATCTGGTGGCAATAGTTTTGATGATGAATTTGGTTTTGGTGATGATGAAGAGGAAGTTGAATTAAGAGAATTGCCAAGAGGATTTGCTAGTTTTACTTTATCCGTTGGAGGGTCTAAGAACAAGAAGGCTAAGACAACCGAAGGAGCTAAAGGGCCGATGGACTTATTTATGTATCAAAAGCTAGAAGCTGTTCTTGAAAAGAGAAAGTTGAAACATGACAAGGGTAAGCAATTAAATATGAAAGAGTATGACAAAGAAATGAGGCCATTGACAATTCAATATATTGCCCCATTCCTTTATGAAAATGGGATTGCATTAAATGTGGCCCATTCAACAAGCTTCAAGAAAATGGTAGAAGCAATTGGGCAATATGGACCAAATCTCAGACCTCCTAGTTATCATGAACTGAGGGTTTCTTGCCTTAACAAGGAGTTGGAGCACACAAAGAAGCTGTTGGAATACCATAAGAGTTAGTGGAGAAGATATGGGGTTACTCTTATGTCTGATAGTTGGATAAATAGGAAACAAAGGAGCATCATTAATTTCTTGGTCCATTCTCATGCTGGTACAATGTTTATTAAGTCCATTGATGCTTTCTCTTTTGTTAAAACTGGTGAAAATTTGTTTGAGTTGATTGATGGTGTGGTGGAAAAGATTGTAGAAATGTTATTCAACTTGTTACAGATAATGGAAGTAATTATGTTGCAACCGATAAGTCATTTAGTTCTTTTACTTTATGAAATGAAATCATTCAATTTTTCAATTCATTCATTTTGATTTCCCTTTTCCTTTCTTTTCGGTCCTTTTTTTTTTTTTTTT